AACTTGATGCTATATTATCTATAGTCTCATTTTAGCAATTAAGAAAATCAATGACGTTAGCAAAACGTAAGTACGTTTACACAATTATACCCATGAATATCAAAACCCATTCATTTTACACAAGCGAAAATTCAAATTTCAAAACAGAAATGGGTTAAGACTTTCTTATAGATAGATATTATGTAGATAATAGATAGATAGACAAATAGACAGATAGACTGCTAGACTGATTGACAGACAGATAGACCGATAGATGAATAGATAGTTAAATTGATGGACGGATGGATGATGGATGGATGGATGTTTGACAGAACGCTTCCTTGAATAGTTGCGCAAAAGATAGCTTTTATTCGGTAAACTATATTTATACATATTTAAAAAATAATGCATGCATGTATTTTCCATATGCGCTTCTAAACCATTCATATGATTGTGATAAAACTTTTGTGTGTTATTGTGCATACGCCCGAAAATTTTTCTGAATCATTACACACATTTTCAATATTTCGTTTTGGGCCCAAGGCACCAAATTCTTTGTTTTCTTTCATAAGCTAAATATAATTTCCGTATGCTTTCCTATACCATTCATCCGATTGCGATAAAATTTTGGTAAATTGTAGTGCGCAGGCCCGCAAAAGGTTTTTAAATAATATATCCATTTTGAAATATTCCTTGGGTGGGGGGGGGGGCTAAATTGTTTTTTTTTTTTTTAAAGGCGCTATACACATATAATTTCAAACAAAAGCTATTGCATGGGTGGATGGAATTGAATCAAATGCAAGTGACATTTAAATTTTGAAATATTCCTTGGGTGGGGGGGGGGGCTAAATTGTTTTTTTTTTCTTAAAGGCGCTATACAAATATAATTTCAAACAAAAGCTATTGCATGGGGGGATGGAATTGAATCAAATGCAAGTGACATTTCAATTTGAGTGACATGATAATTAGGTTAGTAAATTAGTACAACCATTTTACAATTTGGCGTTTGGGGCCAGGGGCCTTATTTTTTTTAAAAAATGTATGTGAGCTGTATAATTAATCATTTCCATCGGAGCTACTGCATGGGTTGATCAATCGCTACAAGTTTGTGGACTAAATTTTGAAATCCATGCTTTTCTGGTGGACAGCTGTATGTGGCCTGCTCATGCATCGAAAAACCTTCTCATTTATTTGTGTACGCACCCGCCGAGAAGAAAAAAATATTTTCTATTTAAAAATTAATTCAAAACGTAATTAAAACACAAACACTTTTTTCTTTGAGTGTCATTGCAACGCATGCCAGGTTCTCGCTAGTTTTATAAGAATAGAATTGGAATAGACAATAGCCCGAGGTATAGGTAAATAGCCTATTGGAATAGACAATAGCCTGAGGTATAGGTAAATAGCCTATTGAAATAGACAATAGCCTGAGGTATAGGTAAATAGCCTATTGGAATAGACAATAGCCCTATGTATAGGTAAATAGCCTATTGGAATAGACAATAGCCCGATTTATAGGTAAATAGCCTATTGGAATAGACAATAGCCCGATGTATGGCCAGTTTGTCAGTGATAGAAAACAAGATTTTACAGATTTTAATTAATATCATTTTCTACTAAAAACAGTCGAGAAGCCTGTTTCACAGACAATTAGAGCCATGTCGTCTGTCTGTGTAGTCACCTTGTCTGGTCGAATGCAGCGTTGTATCATCATCTTCTGGAACAGACCCAGCTTGGAGTGCCAAGGTTCTGGGTATTGTGTTTTATGGGGTTCCTTGGAGTTGTAATAGGCTTTCCAGACTTCAAGGTTAGATTGGAAGCTATCTCTGGAGATATTCAAACTTTAGTTTAATTAATAACGACGATATATATACAAATATTTTTACATGTAATACCATGCTTTTTAATATTATTATCTAAAATCAGCATTAAAAGTTCATGTTAGTTTGTCAGCGTGAGTGCTGCCAAGTTGTAAGGTCAACACAAGCATGGGCTTCCTTAACTTGACATGGACCACCTTAACTTGACATGGGCCACCTAAACTTGACATGGGCTTCCTTAACTTGACATGGGCCACATTAACTTGACATGGACCACATTAACTTGACATGGACCACATTAGCTTGACATGGACCACATTAACTTCACATGGGCTTCCTTAACTTGACATGGGCTTCCTTAACTTGAAATGGACCACCTTAACTTCACATGGGCTTCCTTAACTGGACATGGGCTTCCTTAACTTGAAATGGACCACCTTAACTTCACATGGGCTTCCTTAACTGGACATGGGCTTCCTTAACTTGACATGGGCTTCCTTAACTTGATATGGGCTTCCTTAACTTGACATGAACCACCTTAACTTGACATGGGCTTGCTTAACTTGACATGAACCACCTTAACTTGACATGGGCTTGCTTAACTTGACATGGGCCACATTAACTTGACATGGACCACATTAACTTGACATGGACCACCTTAATTTAAAAAAATGGCCTCCTTTACTTGACATGGACCACCTTAACTTGACATAGGCCACCTTAACTTGACATGGACCACCTTAACTTGACATAAGCTTCCTAAATTCACATGGGCTTTATTTACTTGACAAAGGCCTCCTTAACTTGACATGGGCTTCTATATTATGACATGTGCTTCTAAAACATGACATGGGCTTGGCATTTAATGATTGACTCATTCCTCATTATTGTTTGAGTCTAATCTATCAAATCCAAAACACTAAAAACAAACCCAAATCCAGCAAAGTCTTTCAATTTGCTGATAAGACAGATCTCATCCCAGCTGTTGTCACTGATCCAGCTGGGGTCTGGATTGGCCAGTTTGTTCTCTAAGGCGACTCCCCCAGTCAGGAAAAAAAGAAACTCTTCCTGGTTTAGTTCGTTTTTTGATCTGTTATGATATAGAGTCGTGTCAATAAGCACAGAGGTCAAGGGCAACCTTTGGATACAACACAGATATATTTATAGAATGTGCTTTTTATTTTTAGAATGTGTTCAAATAGTTTTCAGAAGATCATAACTCTAGTAAAATAGCGCAAATATACAAATTGAATTGTCTTAAAGGCATTTTTTATATGATGTACCCTACACCATTCTGTCTGTCATTAGTTTAGCATTGCACACCACCATGTTCTGACTGTCATTAGTTTCGAATTGTTTCCCACCACACACCCCATCATATCGGCCCCTTTAGTAACACACTCCACCACATTCTTTTTGTAATTAATTTAGTATTGCACCCCACCCAATTCTGTTTGTTCAATAATTTAGTATTGCACCCCACCCCATTCTGTTTGCTCATTAATTTAGCATTGCACCCCACCCCATTTTGTTTGTTCATTAATTTAGTATTGCACCCCACCCAATTCTGTTTGTTCATTCATTTAGTATTGCATCCCAATTCTGTTTGTTCATTAATTTAGTACCACACTTCAATAAGAAATTGAAATAAATATGCTTTTACTTTTTCACCTGTTAAATAAAAGCAAGGTAAGCAAACACAGGGAAAATGTTAATAGATAATTTTTTTTTACCTGAGAATATTGTTCCATATGATTATTTTTACCTGATATGATTGTTACCTGAGAATATTGTTCCATACGATTATCTTTACCTGATATGATTTTTACCTGAGAATATTGTTCCATACGATTATTTTTACCTGATAAGATTGTTACGTGAGAATATTGTTCCATACGATTATTTTTAACTAATATGATTGTTACCTGAGAATATTGGAGCACAAAATAAAAGAGAAGACCAGTTTATCCTTCTCAAACAAAGACCTGCAGACATTGCAGTAGAGGCTGTATGTAAAGTGGTCAGCCAGGAAGCGAATTCTCTTGTCCAGATGTTTGGATTTATTGCTGGTGTTAGGGATAGGCATAAATTAGTTTATGACAGGAGTCTCAAACTCAAATCATCCAGGGGCCGCAGGAGGCAGAGTCTGAATGAGACTGGGCCACATCAAGCATTTCGCAAAAAATGTAAGTTTTAAGTTCAATAAAGTACAACTGTCACAATTTGCTCAACTTTTAGTAATCTTACAAGTAAAAACATTAAAGGTTCTCAAATACTAGGCTTCACTTTCTTCGTCCTACTGCTTGTTGCCATAGCCCTGACAGTGCAAGTGACGAAGCTGACAAGTTCGGAATTTCCCTCGTAAGCATTAGCCGCAATTTTAATCGGGATTCTTTGATACTGTGTCCGATTCCTATGATTAACAAAAGTATATATAATATTTGAAGCGTGTTTTCTTAAAATCGCACTTTGGCCATGTTTGTCTCATAAAATATTACAAATTAAAAACGTTTAGTCCGATTTTAAAACTGTTTTTACCATTATTATCAACATCCAAATCTATACAAAAACATAAAAATCGGAATGAGACTAGTAGTGAGTTTCAACTGAGACCATCGCGGACAGTAACATTATAGATATGAGAATGGGGAAAACGTGCCGGTCGTATTATCACTAAATTTTGCTGTCATGTCGCGGGCCGCAAAATATCCTCTTGTTGGATGCAAATGGCCCGCTAGTTTATGTTGTGGTTGAAGAGGGAAATTACAAAATTTGTCAACATTCAACTATATTCTGGTCTAATTTTTAATCATATTCAACCACATTCTGCTCTATTCTATAATTACATTCAGTCATGTTCTAGTATACTCTATAAAACATCCTATTGTGTTATAATCTCATCTGTAATCACATTCAATCATGTTCTAGTCTCATCTGTAATCACATTCAATAGAATGTGATTGTCATTTTATTTGTGAGAACAAAAGATACGGACCAAAAGAAGAGTATAAATATGTAAAATAGCTTTTAACTTGTGATAAGTTACCTTCATAAAAAATCTCTTAACCTTGAACAAGTTACCTTTCTTGTATTGAAAGAATGAAGAGGTTGACAAACCAATTGAGAGAATACTGATACATGGGGTCAATGTTGGGCAGGTCTGTGATGGAGAAAAACAGCACAGACGAGTGGTTGGCGATGGTGCGATAGCCAGCTCTGGATGCTTCGATCTTTTTCTCTGTTTCCTCACCAATCTTGAATAAAATGGATTCAAAGAATTAAAGACAACCAATTGATTTGCTTCTTACTAGTTTAATACCATTAGTTGAATGTATAATCAGGTTTCCGTTTTAGTTCAAAATTCAAAGGTGATAAGATTTGTTGAATTATGGGAGTGACCAATGAATTCATTATTAAAGTTTTATTGTGTGAGTGACTAAAAAATTATTATGTAAATTGTATTGTGTGAGTAACCAATGGATTCATTATTAAAGTTGTATTGTGTGAGTGACCAATGTATTCATATTAAAGTTGTATTGTGTGAGTGACCAATGGATTCATTATTAAAGTTGTATTGTGTGAGTGACTAAAAGAATTATTATCTAAGTTGTATTGTGTGAGTGACCAATGGATTCATTATTAAAGTTGTATTGTGTGAGTGACCAATGGATTCATTATCAATGTTGTATTGTTTGAGTGAACAATGGATTCATCAATTTAGTATTGTGTGGGTGATAATGCAGTAAGAGTTGCTTACAAAATCAGATATGACAAATTTAAAGTTAGTGTCTAGGACAGTGATGCCATACATAGCAAAGTCTATCACAGTAAGAGTTGCATACAGAATCAGAGATGAAAAATTTAAAGTTATTGTCTAGGTCAGTGATGCCATACAAAGCAAAGACTAAAATTAGATTTAAAAAGCAATATGCACTGGACGTTTTCTTTATTAGTATATTATATAATTGGTTTAAAAGAAGATAGACACTGGAAAATTAATTGACTCACTATTTGTTTCTTAGAGATTTCATTGGACAAAACTTTTGATGAGTCAAGCACTTCAATGGCCGACTCATCCTCTAAAATATTCCCCTCTGATGATGAGAGGGTGTATAGAATTTTGTCCTCAATTTCCTTCAGTTGTTTGTTGTTTGCTGCACTTGTTACTATCAGTGTTTGTCTTTCTTCTTCCAGCTCTGGTCTGTCAACATGTACATGTTTTATTGAAATTGTTTATAGCTATCCATTTTTAAAAATTATTTTACCAGGCAAATGGCTAGAAAACTATTTAATTATTTCACTAGTACACGTTGCTTTAAAACAATCATATAATTACAAAGAACATTGTTTTAAAACAATCACATAATTTCACAAGTACATGTTTCTTTAAAACAATCATATAATTTCACAAGTATATGTTGCTTTAACACAATCATATAATTTCACAAGTACATGTTGCTTTACCACAATCATATAATTTCACATGTACATTTTGCTTTAAAACAATCATATAATTTCACAAGTACATGTTGCTTTAAACAATCATATAATTTCACAAGTACATGGTGCTTTAAAACAATCATATAATTTCACAAGTACATGTTTTAAAACAATCATATAATTACAAAGAACATTGTTTTAAAACAATCACATAATTTCACAAATACACGTTACTTTAAAGCAATCATATAATTTCACGAGTTCATGGTTATAAGACTATGAAATAGATTGATTAGACACACACAATTTGTGTCAAACAAAAAATATATGTTCAGCTTTAATGATGATTTTACAAAATACAAACTAAACATGTCAGCAAATGTGTCATCAGTCAAAAAACAAAAACATTTGAATAAGTTTAAATTATTTCAGTTTTTGTGTCCTTACTATGTTGTTTACTGAGTCAATCTGACATAATGTCTTCTCCTCATCAATGATCATTTCAGCTTTAATGTCCTTGCTATGTTGTTTACTGAGTCAATCTGACATACTGTCTTCTCCTCATCAATGATCATTTCAGCTTTAATGTCCTTACTATGTTGTTTACTGAGTCAATCTGACATAATGTCTTCTCCTCATCAATGATCATTTCAGCTTTTATGTCCTTCCTATGTTGTTTACTGAGTCAATCTGACATAATGTCTTCTCCTCATCAATGATCATTTCAGCTTTAATGTCCTTGTTATGTTGTTTACTGAGTCAATCTGACATACTGTCTTCTCCTCATCAATGATCATTTCAACTTTAATGTCCTTACTATGTTGTTTACTGAGTCAATCTGACATAATGTCTTCTCCTCATCAATGATCATTTCAGCTTTAATGTCCTTACTATGTTGTTTACTGAGTCAATCTGACATACTGTCTTCTCCTCATCAATCATCATTTCAGCTTTTGTGTCCTTGCTATGTTGTTTACTGAGTCAATCTGACATACTGTCTTCTCCTCATCAATGATCATTTCAGCTTTAATGTCCTTACTATGTTGTTTACTGAGTCAATCTGACATACTTTCTTCTCCTCATCAATGATCATTTCAGCTTTAATGTCCTTGCTATGTTGTTTACTGAGTCAATCTGACATACTGTCTTCTCCTCATCAATGATCATTTCAGCTTTAACGTCCTTACTATGTTGTTTACTGCGTCAATCTGACATACTGTCTTCTCCTCATCAATGATCATTTCAGCTTTTATGTCCTTACTATGTTGTTTACTGTTCACAGCAAGCATAGTTTCCTTCTTGGAAGATACAGAGTAGCCATCATCATCTTCATTCACCCATTGTAAATTCATCTGGTTACATTTGCTGGCAAAATGATTTCTATGCTTACACATTTTACATAATCTGCCCCATTCAGGACACATTTCTTTCTTGAAGACGTGCAACTGTCCACAAAATTTACATTTAGACCGTTACAAGTTATATGACAGAAATATAAAACACAACTACAACACAGAATTTAATACATAGCTACAAGACATAATTTAATACATAGCTACAAGACAGAATTTAATATGTAGCTACAAGACAAAATATAATTCATAATACAAACAAAAAGAATAATGGTAAACCAATTATAATGACACAGAACATCTAAACAGTGTTGAGCAAAGAGGGGTGTGGAAGGGGCAGGAGGCCCGGGTGACAAATGTTGTAGACAAACTGATGATTTTTTTTCAAGGAATGGTTCGGCAAAAATATGTATCCACCCATGTGGCACTTATATTAGCTATGGCGCCACACTGACACACAACTATTTTGGCGTTTGATGGCAAGTTAAAATATTGGCAATATATTCTAATCAACCAATGAAAAAAAAAACATGAATCATATTTTATATATACTTAATATTATCACAGAAAATAACCGATATCTGAGCACCTTAGTTGACATAACATTTTAATTGAGCCCCTTGTAATCCATTGGTTGACATAACATAATGTGTCATTTATATATTCTTTATGTTTACCTTTCTTTGGCCACAACGATCCCCAAAAGCTGGTCCTCGAGCCCCTCTGGTGTTATCATGAAGTTGAGTAGCGATACTTTGGTGGAGATTTCTGGCAGATAATGGGGGTTCCTCAACTTGGTGGTGATGTAAAAACGGAAATCTTTACTGTACTCTAGGACTTGGTCTCCCATCATGATCATATCAACACCACCTTAGAATAGATGACATGATTAAATAACATATAAACACCACCTTAGAATTGATGCCATGATTAAATAACATATAAACACCACCTTAGAATAGATGTCATGATTAAATAACATATAAGCACCACCTTAGAATTGATGCCATGATTAAATAACATATAAGCACCACCTTAGAATTGATGCCATGATTAAATAACATATAAGCACCACCTTAGAATAGATGCCATATTTAATTACATATAAACACCACCTTAGAATAGATGTCATGATTAAATAACATATAAACACCACCTTAGAATAGATGCCATGATTAAATAACATATAAGCACCACCTTAGAATAGATGTCATGATTAAATAACATATAAACACCACCTTAGAATAGATGCCATGATTAAATAACATATAAGCACCACCTGATAATAGATGCCATTATTAAATAACATATAAACACCACCTTAGAATAGATGCCATGATTAAATAACATATAAGCACCACCTTAGAATTGATGCCATGATTAAATAACATATAAGCACCACCTTAGAATTGATGCCATGATTAAATAACATATAAGCACCACCTGATAATAGATGCCATGATTAAATAACATATAAACACCACCTTAGAATAGATGCCATGATTAAATAACATATAAGCACCACCTTAGAATTGATGCCATGATTAAATAACATATAAGCACCACCTGATAATAGATGCCATGATTAAATAACATATAAACACCACCTTAGAATAGATGCCATGATTAAATAACATAAGCACCACCTTAGAATTGATGCCATGATTAAATAACATATAAGCACCACCTTAGAATAGATGCCATGATTAAATAACATATAAACACCACCTTAGAATAGATGTCATGATTAAATAACATATAAACACCACCTTAGAATAGATGCCATGATTAAATAACATAAGCACCACCTTAGAATAGATGTCATGATTAAATAACATATAAACACCACCTTAGAATAGATGCCATGATTAAATAACATATAAGCACCACCTGATAATAGATGCCATGATTAAATAACATATAAACACCACCTTAGAATAGATGCCATGATTAAATAACATATAAGCACCACCTTAGAATTGATGCCATGATTAAATAACATATAAACACCACCTTAGAATTGATGCCATGATTAAATAACATATAAACACCACCTTAGAATTGATGCCATGATTAAATAACATATAAACAACAAATGGCGATAGATATGCTGGATGCTGCTACTTTTTAAAATTTATTGTTTAAAATTTTTATTCTGTCAGTGGTAATATTTAAGTATTGTATTTCATCCTGCCAGTGGTAACATTTAAGTATTGTATTTCATCCTGCCAGTTGTAATATTTAAGTATTGTATTTCATCCTGGCAGTGGTAATATTTCTTTTTTTTTTTCTTTTTAGGGAAGTGGTTGTCAACCTGTGGATCGTGACCCCTTTTGGGGTCGAACGACCCTTTCTTAGGGGTCGCCTAAGACCACTGTAAAACACATATACTTGACAGTTAATGAAGTGGCAACAAAAATAATTTTGTGATGGGGGTCACCCCAAGGTGAGGAACTGTATGAAAGGTTGGCGGTATTAGAAAGGTTGAGAACCACTCTTCTAGGGCTCATAATCAAAGTCTTGATCATTCTGGTTCTTGTAGCCCCAAAAATTATTTTCCACTTAGTCCTTTCAAGAAATTACACACTGCAAGTCTCTAATGTTCTACAGTCAATGTTTTTTATCAAAGTTACTCAAGTCTCTAATTGCCTCAAGCCAATGTTTTCAGTCAAACTTACTCTAAGCTCTAATGGTCTAAAGCCAATGTACTCTATCAAACTTACTTAAGTCTCTAATGGTCTAAAGCCAATGTTTCTATCAAACTTACTTAAGTCTCTAATGGTCTAAAGCCAATATATTCTATCAAACTTACTTAAGTCTCTAATGGTCTAAAGCCAATGTTTCTATCAAACTTACTTAAGTCTCTAATGGTCTAAAGCCAATATATTCTATCAAACTTACTTAAGTCTCTAATGGTCTAAAGCCAATGTACTCTATCAAACTTACTCTACGTCTCTAATGGTCTAAAGCAAATGTATTCTGTCAAACTTTCTGGAGTCTTTAATGGTCTAAAGCCAAATAGAAAACTTAATCAAGTCTCTAATGGTCTAGAGCCAAAGTGAGCTATCAAACTTACTTTGCTTGAAAGTTTGTTTGAGTAGTAGTGGCTCCAAAGATGCATCCAGTTCCTCATAAACATTCTCCAGCAGAAGTGGGTAGCCAAATGTGACACAGTTTTCTAAGACCCTCATGTAGTCATGGTCAGATAACTTGATTACAGAAATATTCTTCTCTCTCTCCATGTTCTTTACCCATCTGTTAGCTTGACCATCCGGGTCTATCATGAGAGGCCTGTAGCATACACAAAGGTGTCTTAACCTGCAAGTCTGTGATTGACCAATGGTCGAACAGCTTGATCACAAAAATAATTTTGCTACTGAGCATGAATTTTTTTGGGTCAAAAAGTAAGTTTAAGTTGTTAATATTATATTATTATTGTATTGTGTTGCTACCGTTACAGTAGACTTAATAGTTAATATTTTATTATGATTGTATTGTGTTGTTACAGTTACAATAGACTTAATAGTTAATATTATATTATCATTGTATTGTGTTGTTAGTTACAGTAGATTTAACAGTTCATATTATATTATCACAGAACTGTGTTGTTACAGTTACAGTAGACTTAATAGTTCATATTATATTATTATTGTATTGTGTTGTTACAGTTACAGTAGACTTAATAGTTCATATTATATTATCATTGTATTGTTACAGTTACATTTAATGTAATAGATAATATTATAAATCAGATAACAAGTGATGTAGAAGAAGAGGCCTAAATTATCTAACAAATTTATGTCACAAAAGTGTCATTGTCTACAGTTTAATGTCTATCATAAAAGTGTAATAGTCTAAAGTTTAATGTCTATCATAAAAGTGTAATAGTCTAAAGTTTAATGTCTATCATAAAAGTGTAATAGTCTAAAGTTTAATGTCTATCATAAAAGTGTAATAGTCTAAAGTTTAATGTCTATCATAAAAGTGTAATAGTCTAAAGTTTAATGTCTATCATAAAAGTGTAACAGTCTAAAGTTTAATGTCTATCATAAAAGTGTAATAGTCTAAAGTTTAATTTCTATCATAAAAGTGTAATAGTCTAAAGTTTAATGTCTATCATAAAAGTGTAATAGTCTAAAGTTTAATGTCTATTACAAAAGTGTCATCATCTACAAATTAATGTCCATCAAACAAGACGTGCTATTGTCTTAGTGTCTAATCACACAAGTGCTATTGTCTTAGTGTCTAATCACACAAGTGCTATTGTCTTAGTGTCTAATCACACAAGTGCTATTGTCTTAGTGTCTAATCACACAAGTGCTATTGTCTTAGTGTCTAATCACACAAGTGCTATTGTCTTAATGTCTATCACACAAGTGCTATTGTCTTAATGTCTATCACACAAGTTCTATTGTCTTAATGTCTATCACACAAAGTGCAATTGTCTTAATGTCTATCACACAAGTGCTATTGTCTTAGTGTCTAATCACACAAAGTGCAATTGTCTTAATGTCTATCACACAAGTGCTATTGTCTTAATGCCTATCACACAAGTGCTATTGTCTTAATGTCTATCACACAAGTGCTATTGTCTTAATGCCCATCACACAAGTGCTATTGTCTTAATGTCTATCACACAAGTGCTATTGTCTTATTGCCCATCGCACAAGTGCTATTGTCTTAATGGCTATCACACAAACAGAGGCGTAGCGAGGTAGTTTGGCGCCCGGGGACAAGATCCATTTTAAAGCGCCCCTTTTTCTTTTTATCAAATCTCAAGCCCTTTATTTTCATCAATAAAATAATATCAAAGCACATTTTGGCATCCCTAACTAGCTGAAGCCCGGGGACTAGAGGCCGACCGAATTTCGGCTTCGGCTTCGGTTTCGGCGCCGAAAGTGGCCATTTTATCACTTTCGGCCAAGTTTCGGTTTCGGACGAAACTGGAAAGTTAACTTTCGGCTTAATTTCGGTTTCGGCGGAAAGAGAAAAGTTAACTTTCGGTTTTTCTTCGGTTTCGGCCGAAATTGACTTAGACTTTCGGCCATCTGGCCGAAAGTTACTCAGGTTTTCGGTCATTTAATACTAACCTAAAGCGATATTTTACAACAAACTAAGCGACATTTAAGAACAAATTAAGCAATCTTTGAGAACAAACTAAATGATATTTAACAACAAACTAAACGACATTTATGAAGAAACAAAACGATCTTTAAAACAAACTAAGCGATCTTTAAGACCGAACTAAATGATCTTTAAGAACAAAACAAATGATCTTTATTGATTTATAAGAATAAACTAAGCGATCTTTAACAGAAGACTAAATGTTCTTTAAAAACAAACTGAAAGATCTTTAAGAACAAACTAAGCGATCTTTATGAAAAAACTAAGCGAATTTACAACAAACTAAGCGATCTTTATGAACAAACTAAACGATCTTTAAGAACAAATAAAGCGATCATTAACAAAAACTAGACGATCTTTAACAACAAACTAATGCGATCTTTAAGAACAAACTAAACGATCTTTAACAACAAACCAGGCGATCTTTATGAACAAACTAAACGATCTTTAACAACAAAGTAAACGATCTTTAAAACAAACTAAACGATCTTTAACAAAAAAACTAAACGATCTTTAACAACAAACTAAACGATCTTTAACAACAAACTAAACGATCTTTAACAACAAACTAAACGATCTTTAAGAACAAACTAAACGATCTTTAAGAACAAACTAAACGATTTTAAACAACAAACTAAACGATCTTTAAAAACAAACTAAACGATCTTTAAGATTAAACTAAGCGATATTTTAGAACAATCTAAGCGATCTTTATGAACAAACTCACCGATCTTTAACAACAAACTAACCGATCAATAACAACCAATTAAACGGTCTTTAACATCAAACTAAGCGATCTTTAACAACAAATTTAGTGATCTTTTAGAACCACATTTTTTAGAGACCCGGTTTCAAAAAAATAATATTTTGCATTAATTTCCCCTCCTCCCCCCCACCCCCCAATTTCTGCCAAATTTTCTCCTACCATACAAATTTGAAAAAAATTGTAAAGCAATTTAAATTAGTTTTATATTAAAATGGTAAAATCCAAAGTATTCATTAGATCAAGGGTATCAAACGCAAATTACGGGGGTGGGGGGCGCAGGAGGTAGTGTCTGAATGAGAGTGGGCCGCATCAAGTATTTCACAAAAAGCGATTACAACTGTTAAAATCTGGTCAACCTTTATAAATAACAAAAATATCATTAAGGGTTCTCAAGCTGGGATTCACTTTCATCCACCTACTCACTGTTGCCAGAGAGCTGGCATACAAAAATATATAGAGACATTAAAAAAAAATCAGAATTAGATTTGTCGGTGAAAATCGACTGAAACCGTCGCGGAGAGTCACGTTATAGATATGAGAATGGGGGAAACGGGCCGGCGCATTTACACTAAACTTTTCTGTCATGTAGCGGGCCGCAAAATATCGTCTTGCGGGTCACAAATGGCTCGCTGGCCGCGAGTTTGAGAACCCTAAATTAGATTTTTATTTATTAATATTTACGATTATCTCATTTTTATAAAAAGAATGTAAATATTTATATTTTCCCACATCATTTTCGATGTAAGCAGAATGTATGCGGGAACGAATTTCAAAATATCTTAATATTTCATTTTCGGTTTCGGCTTCGGTTTCGGCTTCGGTTTCGGCCGAAATTCATTTTTAACTTTCGGTCTTTTTTCGGTTTCGGCCGAAAGTCATTTTAAAATTTCTGCCTATTTTCGGCTTCGGCCGAAATCAGAAAATCACTTTCGGTCGGCCTCTACCGGGGACATCTGTTCCCCCCTGCCCCCCCTCGCTACGCCTCTGCACACAACTTAGTGCTATTGGCTTCAGAGTAATGACCTTGTGTTTTAAAAATACCAATATTTGCCATTTATTTCTACCATCTTAATTTTTAAAGTAATGAAATTAGATTAATGAAACACAATTTGTGTAAATCAAACAATATAGGTTAAGCTTTAATGTTACACAGAATACAAATGTAAATGAATTTTTTCCAACATAGAGAATATCATGAGCCAATTTTAGAAGCAGCTGTCACTCCAATTATTGGTATGACTAGACAGGATTCTTTTTAAGCAACTCATTCTAAATTAATTTTAACTTTTTATCGCTACAACCTCATGGCTCGTTATCTAGTTGGCGAAAACCGGTCTATCCTTATGGCAGACAGTGTCACCAATGACATTTTCAAAATTCCACCTCTTTTCACTTTCGGCAAGGACAAGGGCCTTAGGAACATGTTTGTTAGAAGCTACCTCCCTGCCGTTAAAGCACATACAGGAAAAAAAATTGCAAACCTAGCCGCTGTAACACAAGTCCCTATGTGAATACAGTTGATAAAATCAATTTCCTTCTGGAAATATTGATAATCAAAGATGGTTTTACTTGCACAAGCCGTAAGGTCATTTACACCATCTGTAGAAAAAGTGCGCAAAATCCTATGTAAGAGAGACATGTTGTTACCTTGGAAACTGTTTTAGAAAACACCTGTATATCATCAACAAACAAAACCTTTGAACAGATTCCAAACATTTCAACAGTGCTTACACTATTCGAATTTAGACACTGTAGTTACTGGTATATTGTATACAGGTAATACAAGGGATATGATTTCTATGGAAAATAAATTAATAACAAGATTTGGTACATTAACACCATATGCTATAAAAACAAATGCACAGTTTTACATAGCTACAATATCTTTATCCTGTTTGGGTTTCAAATTTGACTTGCACCCTATTTCTTTATGCTCT